GCTATTATTCTGTATTGCTTTCATATGATTATTAGTTGCAGTGAGAGAAAAAGACACAATATTATGAGCCCATGAATTGGATCCCTATGAGACATCTTGTGAGAAGTTGAGTCATGTACTTAGCAACGGGGATACATCTGTCAGTTCTCTTGCACTTTTGTATGTGTCTCTCACTTTGGAATTGGGAAGAGAAGGTGCATGGGATAGGAGGACACACCTCAGGCTTTGCAGTAATTTTACTGGAGACGCACAATGTTGGTACAGGCGGAAATCTCACCAGGAACCTTACAGGAATCTATGTTGGTTCCTGATAAGAGAGGATGCAGACTCAACCTTCCTGGGTGCCTAAAGAGGAGCAGTTTTCCTGGAAGCAGTTCCTACATGTTCAGCAAATGCATTCTCCACATTTTCCCACGGAATGCCAATGTCAACTATTTTATGTTCCCTGCCTTACAAATTATTGAACCACATTCCAGAAACGTCAATGTGCGCTCACTAACACCTTTCTGACAGCCTTTTCAACCCAGATGCAGCCCAAGAATCCAGCCTCAGACCACAGCTCCTATCCATTACCTCGGAATTTAGAGTCACTGTGCCCACAGAGCCAAAAGGAAGCAACACTGCTGTGCTTTCCTCTCCGCTAGTGAAGAGGACGCCTGTCCTGCAGTAAGGGCACAGCTCTCTCAGGTCTTGTGTTGGGAACTGTCTGGATCGTGTCAGTGGTGGCTGGAAGCCCACATTTTATAGGCAATTTAAAGTGGTTCAGGACACACCATCGAGGAGACAAATTCATTGAGAGGAATCACCAGGGTTCAGTTTCAGAGAACTGTGGTCCATCTGTAACTTGATGAAAACTTCAGCCATTTAGGAGCAGTCAGAGAGCAGGCACACTTTTGTGAAGAAAGTGTCAGGGGTCAGCTGTTAAGGACAGAAGTGAGGTGTACTTTGGGCTTTTGTGCTGAGCACTATAACTGAGGTCTGCCAACCTCAGAAAGCTACATTAATGATTCCTTCCCTGCTGCTTTCCTGGTACCTTGTCCACCCGTATTGCCTTTGTTTCCACAGAGGTGCATTCCTCCTGTGTTCCAGGCACCGTGAGCAGCAGTGGAACAAAACTCTCTGTTTTATTTAGTCTGGTGGAGAGAAAGACAAAGAGCAGCAGCATAATTGGGTAGGTACAGTCTTGAAAAAGGCACAGGGTGACATGGAATCCTGAAGAGGGGGACTATTGCTATGTTATGCATAGTATTCATAAGAATGCTCTGGGGAGATAGCAGAGGGATTTGTAGAAGGGGAAGACAGAGATGAGGCAGAAGACTTTAGAGATCTCTGTTCATCAGAGAGCATGGAGTGGGAATTGGCAAAAGCCCCCTTTGGCAAAAGTGACAGAAAGGAGATGAGTTCATAATTAGGAGGGTTACGGAAAGCAGTGCCATGGAGGGGACACTTCTGAAGAATGGAGAAGGCTGGCAATGATAACAGCCACCAGACAAGGGAGCAAGGAAAGCCATCTAGACGTTATAGACAGGATATAGTCAAGAGAGGATCAGAGTAGATGTCAGAACTGTAGGAGTAGGGCGGGCAGAGAAGAAGAAAAGTGAGAAATGATATAACTGAAAATGATTCCCAGAGCTCAAGTATCTGGGAGATGAAGAGAGGAAGGAGGTCTAGAAGCTAGCATCAGATAAGTCAGGGGAGAGGAAAATTCCAAAGAAGAAGTGGTCCTCTGTGTCACTCAGCATGGAAGAGAGAGTGGAAGACATGAGTCAGTGTTAGAGATACAAAGTGCCACACTGAGATGTCTTCCTGAGAAGGGAAGGCTGGGGGCAACAATGGAATTGTGGGGAGATGACACAATTAAGGAAAGATACTTTTAAAAAGTTTTTCTTTTAAAATAAGAGGCTCTGTAGTACATAGGAGGGTGTAAAGGGAAATGGGTAGAGATGCAAAATACAGAAGAAAGACAATCTGGTGAAGGACTATTCCTGTAAAAAGAAAAATAAAAACATAAGGTAGAGACCAAAAGTTAGCATGGCATTTGCAGGCATGAAAGAAAGTCCTTGTTGTGGTGTGAGTCTGGATGTCCCCCCAAAGCCTCATGTAGTCATATGTGAGGCTTTTCAGAGGTGGCTGATTTTCTAGTGTGTATGATGCTGGAATCAAGGCTGTGTTATTACTAAATTAGTCCATTGATTAGTTTGGCATAGTTCTGGGTGTGGATAATGAGAAGGCCCATCCTGGGTGTCAGTGCTATGTACCCTAGGGGCATGTAGCCTGGATAGAATGTGGGGGGACAGGAAAAGGGCTGCTTTTGTCATTTGCTGCTTGTTACTTTTGTGGCCTCCTGCCTTCTGCTCTCATACTGTGATTTTTTTCCTCTATGATGTCTCTCTTGGGGCCAGTCAATTATGTACTACAATCTCTACAAGCTGAGATAAAGTAAATCTTTTCTTCTTTAACTTTTGGTGTCAGATATTTTGTCTCAGCCATAAGAAAAGTAACTAAGACACTCCTCAAATGCCCTCAGGGAAGTCCGAAGAGTAGCAGGTCCCCAGGAGAACACTGACCAAGTGTGGGATGTCAATGTAGGGCTGTGTGCTGGGTGTGGTCCTGGAGGGCAGCAAGGACTGAAGCAGACCTGGCCTTCCCAGCTGAGTAGGTTCAGCACTGTGTGCCTAGCTTCCCATCTTCCCTCCTCGTCATGCCTGCCTTTTTCTGGTGTCATCTCTAAAAAACCCCTCACTACAAGCTGCAAGTGAAGCTGCAGAAAAAATAACTGTGTTATAATGACAGGAATCTGTACCACAGAGGAGCTGGGTTTGTAGTAGTCATGCAAAGGAGTGTCTCCTAAGAAGCATGCTGTGACCTCAATTTAGGATCTGTATATTGGTGATTGGAAATATACACATTCTTAATGTCACAGTCTTAAGGCCTGAGTAGTGACACACTGGGTAACCAGATTTAAGTGCAGAAGGTGTTAAGATGTCTTTCTTGAAGTAAATACAAACTCTTTAGTAGAAGAAGTTCTAATAAAGAGCACAGTAGGTGCTCAGTGGTCAGAGTGCTGTAGGGTTTCAATCTCACTCCACCAAGATAATTTAAGCAGTCTTACAGTATTTCATGACTGTCACCACAAAAGCTGATGGTCATAGAAAAGTTAGTTAAGGACCGAGTGGTGCACAGTGCTGGAGGAACTGCCTAACCTATTCAAGGCCCTAAATTCTATCTCTAGTATCTTGAAAACAGGACACAATTTTAAAACATACTGCTTATCCTGCAGGACTGCTGTACTATCAATGTGGGAAAAATAAACATCAAGATTCAGTATTTTGGGGTTTTTTTTTCCCTCCTGAGGCTGGAAGTGGTGAAGAATGTACTTAGCATGCATGTAGCCCTAGGTTAAATCCCTTCCCTAGCACTGCGGGGGTGGGGAGACCTGGTCCTGGGCTGTAGCAGTCACTTCAGGAGTTAGGAGCATACAGTGGAGGGTACACCAGCAATGTAACATGGTCATTTTCCTCCACTGACCTTGCACCAACAAGGATTCTCTGGGGGCTGGGACTCAGGATGACTGAGACTAGGAGATGCTTGTGTGCTCCTCAGGCAAGAGAAAAACCGTCATGTCACTTAGCTTAACTACCTTTCTCGTGGCAGGAAACCAGTTACTGAAGGAGGAGCCACAGTGCGGCAGGTTTCTCCAGACACCAGCAAGGAGCAATAAAAAGGGGCCAGTGGCCAGCCAAGAACCCTGGAGAGCCAGAGCTACCTTTCTCCTCCCTCCCTGTGCCGGAAAGGAATGTATGCGGCTGCTGCGAATGGATGAGTGATAAAAAACATCAAATTCTAGTCATAATTGCTTTTTTTTCCTAATGTGTAGTTTTCTTTAAAGGTCCTAACAACATCTTCACAAAGATTTGCAGATATTATTATTCCTGATGACTGAGATGCCTGAGTTACAAAGTTTATGTCTCCTTAACGATTCTAATTTTCCATGTGGCAGGTAAAAGCTCACTCTTTTATTTTTGGCTTGTTTTTATGCTAAAATCCTCAACTTGCCATAAAAATCCCCATAAAAAAGAACCCCATTATATAATAATTTACTGAAAATAGCCCTTCTGAGTGGTCTTAAAAGGGCATTTTCAAGTTTTAAATTGATTTTCTGCTGCTGTCTTTGTATATTAATTCACACTGTCTCAAGATGGGAAATGACAAAATTAACAGTTTGACAAGCTCCTTCCCCAGGCTGAAATAGCCAGCATGCTCTAGTGCCCTGGCAGGGTCACAGTTCAGTTCCTCTCTCCCTCTGGTTTTGTTATGTCAAAGAGCTAAGCAAGGAAAATTGAAATGACAGTGGATTGAGAGCAGGAAATATTTGCAGCATCCCAACCAAGTTTAACCAGTTATTACCTTGATTTTCACAGCCAATCTCATGAGTTCCTTGTCTTTAGAGAATATAATGATATCGCAAAGCAGTTTAGTTTTATCCAAGCAGAGTCAGGACCCAGGTGGAAATGGGTCTGCACAACTTGGAGATGAACTTAACATAAAAGCCCGTCATAATATTTCCATTAATTCATTCATTCTTCCATCAAGTGGTTTCAAAGTACCCACTACGGGAAGTCACAGTGGTCGATGGGGAGGATGAGAGGTGTCAAAGGTAATGAGACTTCTGTGCCCAAGTGAGGCGCTCTACTGAGCAGGGCGCACACCGGAGTGCCACTGGCAGCGTCCCACAGTGACAGCGCCTGCAAAAAGTGCACAAGGACACCTTTGCTCAATTTACGCTGGCACCAGTTAGTGCTGTTAGGTGCAGGTGCCCAGACCGCCTCACACACGAGGCAGAACTCACCCAACTTCTGAGTGTAGAATCAAAGTTAGGCGGTAAGTGAGACTGGAAAGGAAGGGACACGGGAACCGAGGAGAGAAAAGGCAGCGATCACCGGGCAGGGCCAGGCCCTGCTGGGGGACGGGAGGGTCTCCAGCGGCGAGAGGGGCCTCACCTGCGTTCCGGAGCTTGCGATTCGTGAGCACGGAGAGGATGACCAGGAGGTTGCCCACGACGTCCACGGCGGTGGTGACGATGAGCACGGCAGCCAGCGAGGGAGCTACCCAGGGGGGTCGAGGGGTCCCGGAGGGCAGCGTGCCGCCCAGCCCTGACAAGCCGGGGTGCACGGCAGGTCCGCCGCCTTCGCCTTCGCCTTCGCCTTCGCCTTCGCAGCAGTTGGTGTAGGAGCCGTTCTCAGGCATCGCCGGCCGCGCCAGGCGCTGGGCGCTGCGCGCTGCGCTGCTGGGTCCCGCGGGGCGCGCGGGGCTGAGCCGGAGCTCTGCCTCCCTCTAGGAAAGAGCCCAGTGAGCTGGGAACTCCCAACAGCTAATTCAGCGTGGACGGGGGCGGAGACAGTATAGGGACAGGGCAGACGCTGCAGAAAGGAGTGCGTCCCTCAGCGGCGCTCTCGCGAACTGCTGGACCGCACAGTTGGCTCTGCTGCCCAGAACTCAGCACCAACCTGTCTGTGGCATCCCAGGCGGCCTAGGGTACCTGGCCTCTGTCGCTCAGCGTAAGACCTGTTCCTACATCACCCACAGTGCCTCCATAGTTTCAGAGACACTGTGCCCAGCAGAGACAGCCAGGTTTTCCAACTGAAGGTGCTGGTGGTGGGGAACTATTCATCAATTGTCAGAAAGGCAAGTCTGAGGCCCCTATGTCGGCTGACTGCAGGGTGTGTGAAGACAGATCCCAAACTGTCAGTTGATGCAGGGAAAAAGAAAGAATCTCCATGATTTGTTATGCACTTGTGTATTTGGGGAGCCTGAGGTGTCTGCAGAAAGCCAACAGTTCAGTAAATGAAAGATATATTTAAATATATTGCTTATAATTCTTAAATAGATACATGGTTATTACAGGGAGTGTTGTAATGTGGGACTTTTGTGAAAAAAGCTAGGACTACAGTGGGACATGAATACAGGAAATTAAGGAGCGTGGGTCCCCTTCATTCAAAATGTTTGAGTGCTTACTCAAGTAGTAATAATAGCCAAACTCCTGGAGACAGTTTTAGGCCAAGAGTTGTCCTAATCACTTTTATACCCATTAAAATTACTGGAATCAAAGTGATTGATAATCTTAAATTTGACCAGGAGGTGAAACAGATGAAACTCTTACAGTGTATTTATGAGAATGCAAAATGATATATCCACTTTTTTTACTTAGAAGAGCTATTCATCCATTCCTTACAAAGTTAAAATACCTATAAAAAGGATATGCCTCTCAATTACCTATGACAAGGATATAAAAAATTAAATGAAAATTTATAAAATAAAATGCATTTCCAAGAAAATACATGTAGAAGAATGTCTAGAGCAACCTTATTTATAGTAGCACAAATCTAGAAATAACCAAAGTCTCCAACAACAAAATTATGGATAAACATATGGTGTATCAATGCGGTGGAATACACTCAGCAATAAAAACTGATATACACACTAGCATGGATTACTGTTGTTAGACCGGTGTCGCGAGGAAGACTCCAAGGGCCTCGCTCTCATGTAAAAACAATGGGGTTTTTATTATTCCGTGTACACGGGGTCCTCCAAACAGGTGGAAACGGAGAACCCTGAGTTGGGGCAAGGCTGGTGTTTTTAAGGATGAAAACCGCAAAGCAAGCAAGCATTGTTACAGAAGCCAATCATAGCAGTTAGAGCAGAACAGTTGGTGATTTGTCCATTTGTGATTGGTCAGATCATGAGGGGTGACCAGTGGGTCAGAGTTGATTAACTGTCTTGTTTTGCACAGCTTATTTTTAGGTCACCTAGCTCCTGTGTGGCTTGGTTCTGACATACTTCCCAATCTTGATTAGCATAGTCAGCAGACTTTATCTCTGAGTTTCCTGACATAATTACCTTACTTTAGCACCACAACCTTTCTATTTGTAGAGGGCAACAATGGTTAACATATCAATTGGGTAAGATTTTACAATTCTTTACAGAAGAGAGCATTGATTAACATATCAATCTTTTACCCAGGGGAAAAGGAAGACACACATTTACAGTTACAGGTATTACTATGATATAAACGAAGCTATTTCTGTGAAGAATGTACAATCTAATACAATCTGATGCAATTAACACAATTTGTGACGGGGCTACCAGATAGAGAAGACCCAGGATGTCAGGAGCTAGTACCTCAGGCCTTTGTTTTATGGCCTTTAGGAAGTTAAAACTTAACCTAGTTGGATTTGAAGGGAGAAGGGGAGGGGAAGCAGCAGATGGAACGAGCTTTCTTCGTCTCTTCACTGTAAACAATACTATATTTATCAAAAGAAGCCAGACAGGAAAAGGTACATACTATATGATCCCATTTATATGGAGTACAAAATCATGAAAAGTTAACCTGTGAAGACAGAAATCCAGAATAGTCATTTTCAATAGAGATAGAAGTCAATTGGAAGTGAGCACAAAGTAAATTCTATTGTATTATTTTTATTAAAAATATTTTATGTAATGTATATGCACCCCTAATAATAACATAAAAGAAGGATATAGTTGGGAAGGAGAGATTAATAATGTAGGGGTGGATAATGAAAGGGGCCAATGCCTGCAGAGATGAGCCCACCCAGAGTCCAAGGAGGGATATTACCCTGAGAGCATGGAGGATTTCTCCACCGCAGCAAGAAGAAAGCAGAGGCACAAATTTAAAAGTGCTTCAAGACTGGTGGGAGAAGATGAGCAAGTTCCTCCAGCTTCTGTGTTCTCCAGGAGCTTGAAGATACCTCATTTACTCCACAGGAAGACAGTGTGGGAAGTTTAAAGACAGGAGAAGGCTGAAATATTTCAGAAAGTGAATTGATTTACTAGGAGAGCATAGCAGGTGTGTGGGGAGAGCAATTGTCTCTGTGTGGGATTTTAAACAAAATCAGTCAGCCTGGTGGGTGGTTGTTAATCAGCAACTTGGAGCTGTTTAGGAAGAGCATGGAGAAGGCAGCATGAACTTGTCAGGATTGGGGTTTGCAAGGGAGGGGAAAATAACAGAGTACAAAGGTCAGATAGAAAAACAGACTCTGTCACTGAAGATAAGTGAGTGGTAAGAAAATAGAGGGCTGAAAGGATGTGAAAGAGAGAAAAAACTAAGGGACTGGAGATCTTGCAAATTTTTAGAATTGAAATGAATCAATTCGGAAAAAAAAAAAGGTGCGTCTTGAAAGAGTGAGTTGTTTGAAACTGAGTGTGTGTTTGTGGTAGTGCTGGGGACTGAACTCAGAGCTTGTGCCTGCTAAGCAAGCACACACCGTTCCACTGAGCTCCACTTTAGTCTCAAACCAAGATTCCTGAGGGGCGCAGACTCTGGTGCTGTGAAGACTCCACCTGTAGATATCTGAGTGTGCTGTTGAAAGGAGGCGGAGTGAACTGAGAAGTCAGGGGTGTATACTATGGTGGGAGGCAAGAAAAATTAAACTGAGAGTTAAATCTCCATCTAATGAGGAGGATGAACCAACTGGTGCATTGTAGAACAACAGGAAAATGGAGACCCAGACACATGTGGACAGGGTGAAGGCCAAGGGACTTACACAGGAAAAAGGGACAGACTCTCTCTGTCTTATGAATGTAAACACATAGTGAGACTTCTCTGACTTTCAGCAGCCCGCATAGCATTAGTTGAATTGAATGCAGTCTAAATTACCTCTGTCCAATAACCAAAACCGGGTCAAGAAGATAAAACAATCTGAATTGAAACATAATTAAAAACTTAGCAACAAAGAAAAGCTCAGGTCCTGATGGATTCACAGATGAATTCTACAAGAAATTTAGAGAAGATTCAACGCCAATACTCCTCAAACTCTTTAGCAAAAGTGAAAGGGAAGCAAGTTTCCCTAACTCATTCCTGGAGGCAAGTATTACCCTGGTACAAAACAAAAAACAAAAACAAACAAACAAACAAAAAAACAAAACAGAGAAAGACCCAACCAAAAAAGAGAGCTACAGGTCATTCTCCCTAAAGAACAAAGATGCCAAAATGCTCAATAAAATACTAGCAAACAGAATGCAGCAAATTATCAAGAAGATTATACATCATGACCAAGAAGAATTCATCCATAATTGCAGGGACGGTTCAATGTACACAGATCAATAAATGTAATATACCATATCAACAAAACAAAAGATAAAAATCACATGATCATCTGGACAGATGCAGGAAGAGCTTTTGATAAGGTCCAACACTTATTCATGGTAAAAACTCTAGTGAAGATTGGAATAGATGACCTTTACTTCAATCTGATAAAAGCCATCTATGACAAACCAACAGCCAATATCATACTAAATGGTCAAATACTGAAAACATTCACTCTAAAATCAGGAACAAGACAAGATTGTCCACTATCACCACTCTTATTCAATAGACTTCTGGAAACATTAGTCAGAGCAATTAAATAAGAGAGAGAAATAAAAGGAATAAGGATAGGAAAGGAAGAAGTTAAATTATCATGATTCACAGATGATATGATACTCTATATAGAAGATCTCAAAAACTCCACCAACAGACCTCTAGAATCAACAGGCAAATTAAGCAGCATAGCTGGGTTAAAAATCAATACTCAAAAGTCAATAGCATTTCTATAAACAAACAATAAACTCACTGATGAAAAATCATACCCTTCACAAAAATATCAATTTAACAAAGGAAATAAAAGATTTGTACATTGAAAATTATAGTACTCTGAAAAAAGAAATTGCAGAGTAATTCAGAAAATGGAAAGATGTGCTCATGAATAGGATGATTCAATGTGAAAATGGCCATACTCCCAAAACTGTTACACAGATTTAATGCATTCTCAATCAAAATATCAATAACATACATCACAGATCTAGAGAAAACATTCTAGAATTTATATGGAACTATAAGAGATTTAGACTAGCAAAGGCAATCTTAAGCAACAGAGACAAGGTGGGAGGTATCATAATTCCAGACTTGAAATTATCCTACAAAGCTGCTATAATAAAAGCAGCATTGTACTTGCAAAAAACAGATCTGAGGATCAATGGAACAGCACAGAAGATACAGACAAAACTACAAACATACTCAGCCACCTGATATTTGAAAAAGGGGCCAAACATTGTTCACTGGAAGAAAGATAACCTCTCTAATAAGTGATGTTGGAAAAACTGGCTTTCTATATGCTAGAATTAAACTAGAACTGTGCCTATCACCATGCACTAAATGAAAGTCAGAATGGATCAAAGATCTAAATATTAAGACAGAAACACTAAACCTACTGAAAGACAAGGTATAGAAATCTCAAGGACACAGGGTTAGGCAGAGAGTTCACAAACAAAAATCAAAATGTAAGGGAAATAATTCCCAGAATCAACAACTGGGATCTCACTGTATTAAAA